TATATATATATAAAATTAAATATGACGTATCTTTAACAGTCTAATAAAACAATAGGTTAATTAGTGAGTGATTATTTTTCCATGTATAAAATAACTATAAATTTTGAAGATTAGAATAACTACTACTTTTTTGTTAAGAAAAACATCTACTATTTTTATGAAAAATAAAAAATAAAAATAAGTGTTACTCAAGGCACGAGACAAAGAAAAAAATAAGTACTTTTGATTCTATAAGATAAAACAACTTATTTACATGATATAAACTTCTTTTAATTTGTGTTTGATAAATAGGAAAGAAGTGAAAAAAAAAAATAGAACAAAAATAAAGGTTATTTAGTAAAGTAGAAATAAATAAGAAATAAAGTAAAAATTTATTAATAAAATTATTATTGTCAAAAAATAATTTTTTTTTATCCAAAGTGACCCATGACAGTGCATTCTGTTCCTTTTCCCTTAAGCCGGTTACATTTCTCGACACTTTCCCGAAGCTTTTATTTATTTATTTATTTATTTTATGTGGGTTACACTTCTTTTTCATCACAATTTTTTACAATTATCCTTTAATAGACAATACCAAAATTTTAATTTTTCTAAATTTTCCTTCTCTTTCTTCCCTTTTATCTCTATTTACCCTTTATTAATTAAGAGCTTAAGGATTGATATAACATTTATGACAATTATTTAAAGAGATTCAATAATATACAGTCATTTATTTTTAGTTAAAGTATATCAACAAATTACATTATGGGTAGAGATGTCAAAATTAGTTTGACTTGTCAAGTTAGTCTATTGGTCTATTAGATTAAACTCTTTATTGTTAGGTTTAAAAAGATTGAGAACATTTAAATGAACCAATAAAAAATAGACTTTTTTTTTTGTTCGTCTTTGGAGTATTCACCTCAAAGGGTGGGATAGCTGGCCCCAAGATTTAACGCGGCTGCATACACAAGGCAGGATTCGAACCCCTGACCTTGCTTAAGCGTGGATCAACCCCTACCGCTGAACCACACGCTTGGAGTTTAAAAAATAGACTTTAGAAGTATTAAGCTTATTTATTTGACTTGATTTTTTTTTAAATTATATATTAAATTATTAAAAAAAGAATAACATGGTCTAGTTTAGCCTAACTTAATGGGTTAACAAATCAAATCAAACTAAAGAAAACACAAATTCTATAAAATCTAGTCTTGTTCAACTTGTTTCTCATATTTGATGATGGTTGAACTAATTCATTTTAACAACTTTAATCGTGGGTGTAGTTTTAGAAAATTATAGTTATATTTTGTAAACATATTTCAACTAATCCACTAGAGTTGGTTTAGTGGTAAGAGGGAGTTGAGGCAACATGCACAAAATTTTATATTCCAATATTAATCATTATTGTAACATTTATTATGGATAAAAAAATGCACTTCAAGTAAAAATACATGTAATTGTATATGTTGACAAACCTTAGAAACATTTGCTAGTGCACACTCACTCGATTTTGGGTTAGAGTTTCTTAGCAACCCACACAACACCAAAATTTAAGATAATTCTGATTATAACTTGCTAAATACCCTAACAACAAAAAAAGTAGACATAAGTTAATATATCCCTTATTTGAAAGTTTATTTTGCAACAAGATCTTTAAATAAGACGTATTTATATTTATCTTTTAATAAGTTGATAGACTTGCATTTTCATACATATTAACATTCTTAATATATAAAAGGTAAAAGTTAAATTGCCTTTTTATTTCTCTATGATATTCTATATGTAATTTTGGTTTCCTAATTTTTAATTTTATAAATTTAATCGTTGAATATTTACATATTTAATATTATAATTATAACATTAAACATCACTTTACATTAAGTAAATATCATATGTAATGAATAATTAATTGAAAAAGTAACTCTTTAAACTTCATCTCTTTTTATAAATAAATATATTTAAATAATTTAATTTTAATTAATCATTAATTTTTATCTTTCTTACAAATTAAAATCTTAAATTTAATTTCATCTGAATTAATTTATAAGTTTTATAATTTCTCCTAATAAATATTATTTTTATAATCAAGAAATTAAAATTAACAATTCAGACTATATACTTAATTACACTTTACGTGTCATTTTTAATTAAAAAAATGCGTATAATTTATAATTAGATATATGATTTAAAAAATTCAATTTAATCAAATAAAAGTAAAAAAAAAATCACTTATTACGCTTTTATATATCATTTAAATTAGTCTCTCAACTATCAACTAAAATGGTTCAATAATTTAAAATTACCATAATTAATAAAAAATAAAATAATTTTAAAAGTATTAGATATTAAGAAGAAAAAAAAGTTTGTTATCTATAGTAACTTTACTTAATTCGATCACGGTTGCTTTTGGAGTTCCCATGAATAATATCTGTAATTTTTTTAAAAATAATAAGAATATCGTCATTATTATTTAAATGTTCTGAAATAATCTTTAATCTATAGTTAAACATTCCAAATTCAATTATCCGAAAATATCACCAAACTTATGTTGAGAATGTGCCTCCAAGTAAGCCAAAAAGCAAGAACTCATTTTTCATTTCTTTTATGTAAGTCAAAGCAAAACTAAATTTGCCCAAACCAAAATGAATGGCAGATAAACCAAAATTCTCCACTTCTAGTTCTGTGAAAATGGTCACAATAACCTCGATTTGTAAAATAAATAAATAAATAAAAAAAAAGCACAAGTATTAACACGTGTACAAGTGTTTGTGAAACTCAGGTAGGTATGGATGTGTATTTAATGAAGTTTTTTGTAGGCAAAAATGATGAGATGGTAGACAAGGGTGAGAATTAAAGCCAAGATGAGTTGGTGGGCAAGTGAAATAGTTCTTGTTCCCATACTTGTTTGAAAATTGTACTTGTTGGTGTTTTGGGTAGAATAGAGGAAAGCCATTGAAATGCTCTCTTCTTTGTCTCCTTTAAAGATTGGCCTTCCAATCACCTGCTTGTACTGTCCACCACTCAATATCTGTTGGTCAATTCAGACACATTAGAGCAACGGTTCAGAATTAAACTGTCATGGAAAATAGTGCAGTAATCATGCTGACCTGGGTTTGATCTCCAGCAGTGACTATAAGGGCACCTTGGTGAGGGCAAAAAGAGAGCCAACTTTTCTTGGAGTAAAGATGAAACTGTGAAGAGGCATTGCAAACATGGAAGCACAATGAATGGGAGTAATCTGTTCCTCTGATCAGCATTCTAATGACGTCGTATTTCAGAGAGTTAGCCCATCGATCGCTATTATCTCTGCGATGCTTGTAAACGCAGCAAGTATTCCCACCCACAAATTCTGTATCTGTAATCCCGTTTTTCAATATCACAGGCAACATTTTCATAGCCACCATCTCTATGCGTGACATCACTTTTTCCATCTTCTCACTGCAAATTCAATCATCCGTAATTATAATAATGTATTTGAATGAAAAATTTAAATAGAGAAATTTATTTATTTAAAGAATTTTAATTTTTTTGAAGTAAAATATCTTGTTTGGATAAATAATTTATAAGGAATTTAAAATTTAATTATTTATAAAATTTTTTGAAATATTAAAATTTTAAATTTTTTCAAAAAAGTAAAAATTTAAAATTTTTCATATATTTTTTTCTTATTTTATTTATATATTTTATTTTATCAAAAAATGAGAAAAAATAAACACTTGAATGAAAATCTCAAAAAAAAAGTAGAGGTTGCCTTGAGGTCGTGTCATATGTGGCCAAAAACAAATATATATCCATTTGGACAATGTGAAATATCAATCTTATAGTGTTTATTATTTAACAAATGCTTTATAATAAGTTCACAATTGAATTTTCATTAGTTTTTTAAATATACAAAGTTTGTTGAAGTGTCAATAAATATGGAAATACAATATAATATTTTTGACAGAAAATACAATATAAATTATTTCTTTTACACCAAAATACAATATAATAATAATAACTATTATTATTATTATTATTATGTGTGTCTGTATTATAACTATTTGAGACAAATTGTGTCAAAAAAATGTTTTTATCAAGTATCAAAATATCATTTGAAAATGAGAAGAAATACAAGGTTATATATATATATATATAATGGACACCAATTTGTTATTCAATGAATTGGTTGAATTTGGAATTGATCGAAAAATTACATATTAATCCAACCTAAAATTATTTTCACCTGTCCAGAATTAATAAAATTTTAACTAATGAACACGCTAGGAAATCGAGGGTATTTTCCCTTGAATATCAATAATTGCTATTTGCTTTTAAACCAACGGGTTTCTTTTCCCAATACCTGTTTATAGTAATTAGAAAAAATATTCCCTCATTTACTCTTGGCTTTATTGTCTTCATAAACACGAATTAAAATTAAAATAATTTAAATATCAAAAATTTAAAATTTAAAATTTATAAAATTTATAAAATTTCTCGACTAAATACAACATAATACTTTTTAGTTTCAATATTGTAATAATAGGTTACAATAATTTAGAATATAACCTGAAATTTGGATATCCAGTTGACCAAATTCCCGCCATTTTGGACTTGAAGTCGTCGTCATTGCACCACACGAATTCCTCGCTACCTTCTTCCTTCTCCTCCTCACCGGCGTGGTACTCCTCGAATCCCCAGGGCTTCTCCGGCGACCTCGTGGCGGCAGCACGCCTCGCCGGCGGCACTCGGAATACCCCGGCGGCAGCCTCGGCGGCCTCCTCCATGAGCTGCGGCGGAATGCCGTGGTTGAGAAGCTGGAAGCATCCGATTCCGGCTAGCGAGTCGGAAACGACGTCGCGGAGGGCGCGGTCGCGGTGGAAGCACAGCGCGACGAAATCGACCTCCGGAGGCGCGTGGAGGTGCCTCTGCTTGGGGAAGATCTTGTCCGGCAGCACGAGATCGGGGACGCGGAGCGAGGCCTCGAGAAACTCGGTGAGGACGTCGTCGTTGGTGACGGTGGATCTCCTGCCGGAGGCGACCGGAGAGGGCGGCGGAGCGCGGAAATCGACGGTGATTTCCGGCATAGTTGACGGCGTTAATTGGAGGGTTTAGAGTTGAGAGCGAGAGTGAGTATTTGAAAGGAGTGGGGAAAAAAGCAGGCATGAATGATGATAGCGTGTCTCTCCTAACGCCGACATTGCCTCCGCAAATCATCACCACGTCCTTTCCTTTTCCCCTTCCTTTACAGCCCTGCTACCGCAACAAATCATTATCATTACTAGTTACTACTTCTTTTTGTAGGGCCATTTTGCCACAAATATTCATTCATTTCTTTTTGCCACAAATAAAAGATGGACTCGTTTGTTTCTTATCGTGCCATTTAAGCTAACTCTCTTTAGGAACAGAGAAAGCAAAAAAGTGGAACAAAAAGCAAAAGCTCCTTAATCCAATGCCAAAACTAATGTTGCCCCAATAATCTAAACAAGCGCCAAATCTAAATGTTACTAATCATTAATCCGCTTCTCACATGAGCAATTCAACAACAACAACCACCGGAATGGACTACAATGCATGTGGTACTCACTAATTACTGGTTACCATATGATATGAGCCTATTGTAAAAGATTATAGGTTCATGATATATTCGTTTTTTTTATAAGTATATTTTTTTTTTTCTTAAAAAAAATATTTTTTTAAAATATTTTTAATATTTTTAAAATTTTAAATTTTACATTTTCAACATTCAATTTAATTTGCTCCTCTTATCAATTTTCATATACATTCTTTTGTTTTCTTCATTCTTTATCTATTTGAATAAATAGTTTTAATTCTTTTAGATTTTTACATTACTCTCTTCCTCTCTCTTCTTTCAGTTTTTAGATTATTATCCTTAACTGAAATATAGAACTAGTGTCTAACAACATTGTACGTGTGAGTAATTTTTTTGACAGTGTTAAGGTGCTGAACCAAATATACATTTTTCTTTGAGCACTTCTCCCCATTTAAATGTTTAGAAATTAAGTTTAGTGTTCCAAATAATTTGTATTTGGAAAAATAATTTCAAAATAGTAAAATTAGTGTTCTGCAAAGTACTTTCTAGAAATGTGCTGTTTTACATAATTCCAGAAAATCCTTTCTAGAATAAAAAATTTAATATTTTGAAAACTATTTCTTAAAAGAATATAAAAAACACAATTTTGAAAGGAGATATATTTGAAAATTGAAAGGAGGGGTGAATGGAATATGTGAAAAAGAAGAAAAAAATAATAAATTGAAAGTTGGAGATATAAAATTAAAATATTAAAAAAAAGATTAAAAATATTTTAAAAATTAAGAAAAAATAAGAAAAGTGTACTTATTAAAACAAATGAGGTGCATATATATATGATGAGCCAAGATTATAGCCAAACGAAGATTGGGCTTCCTTCAATTCAAAACTGGATCGTCTTATACAAAAAACCAATGACAGTGGGCTTATACTTAAATTACTCCATGTCCGGTTATGCGTTATACAGTAACTTATAAGCGATTGGACGCACGTCACTTTGAAGCATGATGAAGTAGCTTCTGCGTTTTTTCTACATATTTCTTGTGAAGATTTGCATATAAATTGGTGCCCGTCATTATCATGACTAAAATATAAAATTGAATTGTTTATAACTACTAACTGTTTATAATAATAAAATTGTACTCCAACTTGCGCACATTATTTGCAAATAAATATGTTTTTTTTCTGTAGAACCAAATGTATCTGGTCATTCAATGTATTGGGCTCTTCACGAGTTAATCTACGGAAAGCATGTTTAAAATAATGCTATTACTTGCCATTAAAATAGAATACTATTAATTAAAACTTTGTCTTCTTCGGTTGCTGATGGCAATGAAGGCTCAATTACTACATCTTTTTCAAAAGAAGTCTATCTTTAAAGAAATGAAGGAGAAGTTCCAAATAAAAAAAATTCTTTGAAAAAGACGACATGCATTTGGTGTAAGATAGAAATGTTTTAACTTCCCTACGGAAATAAAAAAAAAAAAATTTGTGTAATATGTCATGACATCATTAGTCATCCGCAAATTGGACATAATTTGCAATTGAAACATCTCGATCAAAGATGAGTCATTAAGAAAGAAAGTTGAGCGCATAAAAAGGAAAAAAAAATAAATGGTAGTGAATGGAAGAAAAGTGTTGTCAATATCATAAGTAGCAATGTCTTGTGTAATATTTCAGTGACTACTCTCTCACAAATTTTAAATCCCATTATGCCCTTTTCTTTATTCCCATTATGCCAACTCGTCAGTACTCAATACTGAATGCCCATTCTTCACTATTTACGTATACTCCATCTGTCTTAATTTAATTTTTCAAAATATCATTTTTTTTATTATTAAAAACAATCCTATTTGAGTGCAAGTGATATATATATTTTTTAATATTTAACGTAATTATATATTCAGTCAGACTTTAAATATTAAGAAATCAATGTGCATTATGTTAAAAGTTTAATAATATAAGATGGAATTAAAGAATACTCTATGGTGTGTTTAGTGAACATTTTTTCTTTTATGTTTTTACTCTTACACTTTGTTTAAAAAAACAACGTAATTTATATTTGTTTCTCTGGTTGTTTTGATTTTAAGAGGGAAAAAATGCTTTAGAATTGGACTCATACAATTTTCAACCCATAGATCTAAAATGGGCAGAAAGCAAATGAGATGTTTCTTTTGTAGAAAATAACTTATTTATCTTCACTTTGTATATTTCTTTATTTGTAAGGTTAATAGTATAATTTTATACGCATATTTTGTCTTCTCTTTCACATTCTGCAAACTCAAAACAAACAGAAGATTTTATTTAGTTATTTATTATAATTTTCTTTCTATCAAACAAATTATAAAATCATATTATTTTGTACTTTTTATTTTCTTTTCTTTTCTTTTAGATATTCTTGAATGAAACATATGATTAGCATAGGTACTAGAACGTCCAACATCTCCTAAACAATAGGGAAGTGGCATGAGGAGGGACACTAATAAAGTGTTTTTGTTCTTACCACCAGTAAGATATATCAGATAGCGTATGTCATATATGATATATATAACTATAATTTTACATGTTAGTTAGAAAGTTCCAAAAGCACCACATGTCTATGGTACTTCCTACTTCCTATCAAAAGGCATAAGAAAACAAACGGCATCGATCAATGGTGTGAATTTGAAGTTTGAAGCACAAAAAGATAAAAGACTTCCAAGACCATTTCTTGCTTCATATTCGCGTGTGGAAAGAGGTGTTCGTTCCTCCAACTCCTCTTTTTCAGTTTTTAAATTGATGAATGAACTTTGAACCACACAAATATTAGATTAATTTCGTCACTCATCAACCGTACTTCTTGGTTTTCCAACGAGACTCAATTTTATCTTTATAATAAAACAAGAAAAGTCTCTAAATTTATAATCCTTTATTAACATTATATGCGACACGTTAAATGTATATGTAACACAAAATATATTTGTATAATTTACGTGACATGTTCATGCAGTCTCTGTGTGTAAGGAATTATTTTACAGAGTTTAAAGTTATGTATATGAAAAATTGTAGGATGAAGTCCTGAATATCTGTCAGATCGGTACTAGAAAAATGTCATTTTTTTTCGAGTTTTTTTGTAAAAAAATATTCGCAGAAATTTTTTACGAATTTTCTTGCAAAAAAAATATTTGCAGAATTTTTTTGCAAATTTATTTACAAAAACTAATTTACAGATATTTTTTACAAATTTTTTTATGAAAAATAATCTACAAGAAATTTTTGCAAATTTTGCTATAATTTTAATGATTATAGAAAAAAAAAATTTCCATGGTAAAAATTTGTAGAAAATATTGTAAAAATTTTATTTTGTTTATTGCAGATTTTCTTGCAAAAATAAATTTGCAAGTAATGTTTATTATATGGTAGAAAAATTTTGCAAATAACTTTTCCTGCAGATTTTCCTACCAATTTTAATCTGCAGGAAAAATAAAAAAAAATTTAAATTTATAAGTTTAATATTTTAAAAAAACTTCAAGTCCCACATCGATTGAAAATATAAAACAATTAAATAGTATAAGTTAGGACAACACTTACCTTACAAGTTTATTTGTATGGTTGAGTGTTAGACTTATAATATACAATCTTAGAATTAAAAGATTATGTATTACATGTTGGAGGCGTGGAAACAAATGCTTCGGATGAATTCATTGCGAACATTTGAAAGTTGAAGAATTATTGATAGAATTTATATTAATTTCTTTAATTTTTTTCGTAAAAAATACTCCTACAGAATTTCTTGCAAAAAAATTCTTTTCTACGATTTTTTTTTGCATCTGCAAATTTATTTTGCATGAAACTTTCTTGCGAATTTTTTTCGCAAGAAATTTTCCTTGCGAATTTTAAAATTCGTAAAAACATATTATCCACGAAGGTATTACCTGCAGATAAAATTTCGTAGAAAAATTTGTAAAAATAACATTTCCTGTGAATTTTTATGAAAAATTTGCAAGAAATGTTGCATGTAATAAAATAAATTATAATAGTGGATCAAGATCTTAAAAAAAAAAAAAAAAAAAAAAAAAAAAAAAGACAGAAAAGGGGGGTATATAAGACATTGAAACTGGACAATGTTTCATATGCGACAAAATCAGAGTTGGAGGAGGTTGAGAGTGATACACTGCCAAAAGGACATCCATTGCTACCCGTGATCTTATCCCTTAGTTCATAGTAACATCATTTCTTTTTCTAGTCATTTATTTTTATTAGAACGGCTAATCAATGTCTATTAGTAGTCAGCATTAGCATCTCCTCTATTTAATAACCTATTAGTGTAATATAAAACTTTAGGTTTAACCTTCTTGTCTTTTAACAGTTTTTTTTTTCATTTATGAAAAATTATTTAATCTATACTTGTATATTAATATTTATGACACTTTTAAATTTTTAAAAATTTGGACAATAATAATTAAAAAAATAATTGTATGCAGTTGATGAATACGAAAACAGTTTGAGTGTAGGTTGAGCAAACAAACGAATCCCGTCGCAAATATACTCGTACCCGCAGGTAATACCCGAACCTGTCCCGACTTTGACGGGAAATACCCGGTTTAACCAGGTACGGGTACGGGTACGGGTACGGGTAAAACCCGATATATTAAATCGGGTACGGGTACGGGTACGGTATGTAGTTCCCCGCCCCGTACCTGTACCCGTACCCGTCCTCATTCCCATTTTTAATTTAATATTACTTTCAATTTAATT